GTTCAGGTGGTGAATTTTTATTATGTGTTATAACAATTAATTAAACATTTTAAAATGCTTTTGAAGAAAAATAAAATCCACCTGCAAGATGAAATTGGGTTGGCCTGCCCTCCCTTCTCATTCCTCATACAATGACACATATCCGGTGACATCTCATTGAATTTTAAGATATTTTGAATGTTAAAGAAGGAGGGATGAATGGACTCCAATGAAAAGCATGGTTGCTTGGTGGACATAACTAAAAGCAGGTTGAAGGATCAATCCATGGGAAATAGGCAAACGGGGATTGAATTGTGTCAGGCAATATGGTGCCACCTGCAATCCCAGCACATGGGAGGCCGAGGCAGAATAACTGTGTGTTTGAGTCCAGACTGGGTTATACATTGAGATCCTCTCTCAGCAAAAACAATGCAAAGAGAGAGAGAGAGGAAAGAGGGTGGAAAGAAGGAGGAAGGCAAGGAAAGACAAAGGAAGGGAGTGAAGACAGAAGGACAAATGATTGAAGGGTACAGATTGAAGGGTGACTGACTGACATACATACGATGTTCAAAACCAACACTGTCATTATCTGTACAGAGCTATCATTTCTCCTAGCTGTTTACTTTGCTTCTTGTGGATTATTTTAAAGATTATCTTAATACTAATGTATTTTTCATAATAACACAAAAACAATGCCAATCTATCTTTTATAAAATATCATTCTTCATATCTTTGATACCAACACAGGCCTATGCTCTTCAGAAAAACACTTCAAGATCTTAATATATATATGCATATATATATGTATATATATATTATATGGAAAAATTTAAAGCAGCGTGAAAGTTAAAAATGATAATTTTGTTGTTTAAAATGGTGACATTAGGCCATTGGTACCATACCTGGGACACGTTCCATGACACTTCTTTCTATGTGGCTGGAGAACACAATGCTAATGAAAGAACCAGGAGGATGTCACTCCATCTGAGGGGGAGGGAGAGCTAGGCAGATTACAGAATTGTACGGTCCCTATAGGCTGAGCTTATGAATCATGGGAGCCATGTAGGTTGTGACTGAATTGTTGTCTACAATTCCCCCTCCCCCAGCACACATTTGTTATTATTCCATGTGAAATTGCCCCAAATGTAACACTCAGGCTTTTTTATTTGAGTCTCTGGGTCAGGAAGTCCCCGCCTACAACTTCTTTGATTCTGCTGCTCTGGGCGTGTTCTACAGCTGTAGCCCAGATGTGGGCTGAGCCAGGCGTGTTGGTACACACCTGTCATCCCAGTCCTGCCAACCCAAGGTTGGGACAAGAGGATCGCTACACATCTGGGGGCAACCTTTCCTACATAGTAAATTCCAGGCCAGCCAAATCTGTACACAGAGACACTGTCTCAAACAAACCAAAAAAAAAAAAAAAAAAAACAATTTAAAAAAAAATACTATGTAAACTAGACTGTCTAAATTTAACTGGGAGGGAAGAGACTTACTCCTTAGGTTGCTTATATGTTGGAAGGCTGTGGGCCCAGAGGAATGCTGGGGGGGAGGGGCTGTCAAGCTTATCTGAGAGTTAGATTCATTCATCAAGAGAAGAGGGGAAAGCCTGAAAGAGAATCCCTGTGAGATGGAAACTAGAATTTGTGTCTTGCTTTGGTTCTTTGTGGTACTGGAGATGGAAAACAGAGCCTCCCACATACTAAGCAGACATTGTATAAGAAGCCAGCTGATACTGAAGAGGAATTTTGTTTACTTCTTCTGTTTCTAGCAAACAAAACAGGACTGATGAGCAGAAGTCTCTGGGCGACACAAGAAAGGGTGACGGTGACACTGGAACCAGGCACTTCAGTGGTGGCTGTCTCTCTCAAGTGGAGACTGGGCAGTGGCAGGCAGGGACTGTGTGGCACACTTCCTGCAGCTCCCCTACCGGGGAGGTTTCATGCAGACAAAAGGGAACCAGATGAAAGAGGGGGAGATGTGTCAAGGGCTGATGGAAACCAGGATGGGATACCCATATACCTGTAACCCCCAAAATCTAGAGGCAGAAGCAGAGGATTGCCATAAACTTAGACAAGCCTAGACTATAAGCAAGACCCTGTCTCAAAAGACCAAACCAAATCACCAAACGAGGGTGAGGTAAAGACCAGTCATGAGCAAAGGGCTGCTTTGGCAAAGAGGGAAGCAGTCAGAACTGGCCTATCTCCCCTTTCCTGAAAAGGAGGCGGAGTCTGCAGGCAAGTGCAGTCCAGGGACTAACCAGTTCCTCAGAGGCCAGTGGCGACAGTGTCTCAGATGCCTTAACCTGCACCTCCCTAGATTGACAGGAGGGAATCACAGATTTACATTTCACTCAACCATGGATGCTTAATATTGCGGTGTGTGGAAGTTTATCTCTTCGGTCTTACAATGATGTAGGTGCTTTTAAGACACCGGGACAAAAAAAAAGTAATACTTGCATAGAGAAAAAAAATCACATTGCAGAAGTGATCCAAGAAGAAGTCCAGATGGCTCTTCAGAAATGACTTGTTGGGTAATTACATAATATATTTACATAGTTCAAGAGACATATGTTGAGTGGTGTCTCTCCCAGCTCTGCATTCTCTACTTACACTCCTGCTGTTCTCACCAGCCAGTTTCTTTTGGTATTATGATAACTATAGCAGCTGGGCATAATGGTGGCAACCTCAGCAGCGCTCAGGAGGCTAAACAGGAGAATCCTGAGTTCAAGGCCAGTGTGGCCTACCCATCAAGACCTTGTTTGTAAGCAAAGCAACAAAAATGCGCATACCACAGCAGGAATCATTTGAACCATTTTTTACAGGTGTCTTGATTTCATAATTTACTTCAAAGATACTAAATTGTCAATTAAAACACAAAAATGCCACATTAAATATACAGAATAAGGTTTAATACAAATACTCTCAAGTTTTCTTTTCTTTTCAGCTGGCTAAAATGATTTTTTCGAATGTGGAGATGTATGCATTTTTATGTCATCCACCCCCATAAACTGTAAGCTTCTGAATAAAAGGAGTAGTTCCATTTTTCTTTCTCTTTCTCTCTTGGTGATGGAAAAATAACTGCCAAGGCCATGGTTCATTTGAGCCATGCTAAGGACAACATCCACAGCTGTACAGCCCACACTCTACTCCACCTGCAGAATCACCCCATCTTCTCGGACCGAGACTCTCAGTCGGAGCGTCCACCTCCTTATCAGCCTCCAGTACTTTCCATCTTATTTGCTGACTCTATGAATTTGACTATTCTAGATTCCTTGTATGTAATAGAGCACTCTGGGTGTCTGCTTGATTGGGTCTGGAAACAGCTAAGATACACACCTCTGGGTGGGTTTGGGAAGCTACTCCTTGGTGCATCTTTTAGGACTGGCTTTGTCATAATGGGATTTGGGGACAGACAGGGATGACTTGCCTATCTACTTTCACTTCTGGCTGGAAATGCCATTGGTTGTCTGATGGGGAATGCACTTCTGTGTATGCTCATACACAGAAGTATGCTTATTGATTGCTGAATAAAGTAGTGTTTGGTCAATGAAGCAGCAAGTTAGATGGGACTAAGAATCAAAGAGGATTCTGGGAAATGTAATGAAGAAGTGGTGATCCAGGCAGGAAGTGACATAGTAGGGAGACTCATATTTAAGCAAGGACAAGCAGGAAGTGGTTCCTTTCCCCTTTGCTCTTCCTCCTGCTCTCTGCGCTGAGCCACCATGTGATCCCAGGGATGAGGACACCAGCAGAAGGCGTCCGATAAGTCTTATAAAATATATAGATTTGTGATAATTAAGACTGAACTCGTAGATAAGAAATCCTAGTCATTGGCCAAACAACATTTGTACCTAATATAAGTCTCTATGTATTATTTTGGCCATTCATGTGGCGGGCAGAACTCAAGCGGTTGGTGGAAAGATTTATTGTAACAGTTGTCCTTTAAGCCATCAGAATACAGCTTCTCTGGCCTTCAAACATGGATTAATGGCCAACAGCTCTCCAAGACTCTTCCAGATCTTTTGTGCCAGATTGGGACTGCTGAGTTGTCCAGCCTTGGGGACCAAAGAGTTACTGAGTTTTCTTTCAGCTTTTACAGTGAGCAGGCAACTACTGTTGGATTACCCAGCCAATGCGGAAACCAATTGAGTAAACACACACTCTTTGTATGTATTCATTATATCACTTCTGTTCTTCTGGAGAAAGCTATCTAACGCATTATACAAATGGAACCCTGAAATATTTGTCTTTTGTGTGTTGCTTCTTTTACTTAATGTAATGCCTTTAAAAATTCACTCAAGATGTTCATATGTAGCAGAAGTTCTTTACTTTTTAGGGCTGAAAGATAGTTATACACACACACACACACACACACACACACACACACACACACACGACTAGCACACACACATGTTACATTGTGTGTATGTGTGTTATCTACACAAATATGTAGCCGTGTTCATCTTTCTAACCACTGGTGAGCATCTGTGCTGTCCCTACCTTTGGGTTATCGTTCACGATGTTATGAACATCAATGTAGAGTTATTCATTTGAGTTCTTGCTTTCTAGTCTTTCAAGCATATATCCAGATAGAATTTCTTTCATTTTAGAGGAACATCAGTTGTCAATTTTACTAGTTTCTTATTTGTTACATGGACTTTTGTGAACATTTTTGTGCTTGTAGTGACTCTTCGTGCAGATAGAGCAAAACTAAACTGAAGATACTTATTCCTTTTATGCCAGACTACCATAATGGATTCATATATTTTAAAAGTACTTCTGGATAGTTCTGCATTAGTATACAAAGGCTTCTTTCTTTTCCCTTTCTTTTATTGTAGCTTTATAATATTCCCCTGAGTGGCTGTATTATAATTTATTTAAGTGAATAGAAACGTTGGATGCAATCTTTTACTATAGTAGAAAAGTCATAATAAAAATCTGCTAATTAATGTGTGAGTATGAGTTGCATGTATCATAGAGTCCTAAAAATGAACAACTAGGTCAGTGGCTAAATGCATTTTTCCAAATACCGAACAGCATACCAATTTGCATGACTTCCTTGCACAGCGGCTATGCTAATCTTTTCTGTGTCATTCTGATTTTGGTAGATGAACTGCTGAAGTGAACATGGGTAAACAGGCTTTTAATTTCGGTAAATATTGGTGAACTGCTTTCCCTAGGGGACATGGAATTAATAGTCTTCTCTGGCAATGAGTCGGCTCTGTCCTGTTATGGATTTACTATGGACTTGTAGGTTTGGTGAACCTACCAGATTAAAACTGGCACCACAGGGCAATTTGTATTTGGTTTTTCTCCTTTTACAAGTAAGGCCCATCAACTTTTCATACTTAAAAGCTATTTATTCCTTGGGAACTTTCCTGTTAATGTTCTTTCTCCACTTTTCTGCAAATGACTGGCCATTTTGACCAGAAATGGCCTGTGCCCTTGGAAGATTAGCTGATTCTCTGTGAAATGAGCTAGAAATGTTTCTCCCAGTGTGCTGTCCATCTTGTGGTTTTACTTATGTCACCTGCCCTGAAAAACAGCAATTATTTTACAGGCTTGGAATCATCCACCTTTTCTCTTTGGCACCTGGATTTGGGGTCACAGTTAGCAAGGGCTCCTGGGCTCCAGGACTCCAAAGGACAGCACTGTTTTTTGACAGTGTTTTTCTGACTTAAATAAAAAGAACACACATGCACTCCTATGTTTTTTTTTTTTTTTTGAGTTTATGTGAGACCCAGTGATAGACAGAGAGCTTCCGTCACCTCATTTCAATTGTCTACTTGTCTCCAGAGTTTTGTTTAAACATCTTCCTAGTTAATTCATTATGCATCTCAAAAGAGCTAGAAGAGATGGTTCCCAGTATATTCATGAGAAAGGAAGAAAGAAATGTAAGCAGACAGATACACTAATGAATCATGCTATCAGTACACAATATATAGAAAGAGAAACATCACATTGGAGCCCTCTCTGTGAGCTGCCCGTTGGCTCCATTGTGGGCTGTGTGGGAGCCTCTGTCACTGGGTCTAGTGTGGACTGGGTCTGGGTCTCCATCACTCTGTCTGTGCTCTGTCTGCTGTGGGCAGATAGACTCTTCAAGATGTGTCCCCCAGCACTCCTGCCATCTGGGCCACATCCCATGAATGCTGCTAGCTGGTAACAATATGTTCAAGCACATGACTTGTGGGGGACATTCACGTGCAAACCAAAACCTTTTGTAAGGTAGCTTGGGCCACACAGACACTGTCATACTCCCAAGTCTTTCCACTTACTGAGTTCTACTTCGGTTCTGTCAGGAATGATGGATGTTAAGTTTTCCTCCGGAAAGTTTTTTGCATTTCCAGTGTAAGTTTCTTTTTGGTAATTTACCTTCTGCTGTTTCTGTAAATGTTATCATTCCTTATAATTTATTAAGACTATCAGTTTCTGACATGTTCTGCTCACGTATAGGGCTCATTTACAATCTGCAACAGTTTCTCTGAAGAGTCTCTGTGGTACTCCAAATTATGGGAATGTGTTATCTACAAACGATAGTCCTTTCTCTGCCTCCTTTCCAATAGTGTGCTTGTAACCTATTGGTCGTATCCAAACCTCATCGTTGGAGGCCTCTGGGGGAATGTAAAAAGCTAAAAGTTACAAAGAGCAGCTGTCCCAAGTCCCATAGTTCTGTATTCTTACATTATCTGGTTTAGACAGTACCTTTGCCTTCTAGTGTGGCCAATTAAGACATATCCTTATGTATTTATCTTCACTCTCTGACTTTCTCTGCTTCCTAATTTAGATTAGTCTCATTATCTATTATTGCAAAGGTTTATAACATTTAAATTCAAAGCTTTAATTAAGTCTTACAAGCTTTGTCCTCAGATATTATTCTAAAATACTATGTAACTATTATGATTCGATAAATCTTATTCATAAAGGATCTGTTGGAGAGCAATGTGGTCCTGTGCCAACCGCTGCTGCTCCATCTGGTTAAGTCTGTTCAGTTCTACAGTTTGTGTCCCAACTCACTTGTCCCTTTGTAATCACACTTCATTATTACATGTTCTCATGACTCATGCTGCTCTCTCAAGCCAGTTCATCATAAAACTGGCCATAGTGGCATGTACCTGTCATCCCAACAGTTGAGAGATAAAGGCAGGATCATCAGGAGTTCTAGGTCATCCTGCTGATGTTCAAAAAAGATAGGGTTGAAAAATGTGGATGTGGTTTTTTAAAACGATCTAGACTCATATATGGACAGAGACAGGACCATATGTTCTCAGCATGTGACAGGCCACCCAGAACCACGAGTCATAATGTTGTTGAGGGAGGGAGCTTTCCAAGGTTGTTTTGCATATCAGTGGTAGACCAAATATCCAGATCATAAGGTCACTCTCCCCAAATATCAGCAGAAGGTATAATCCCTTGAAATGTCTCCATAGACAGTTGGGATAGTTGTAACTAACAAGGACAGCACACACTCCCTCTAACAAATTGAGCTATGTAAGTCCTACCTGCTGCAAATTGAGTCTTACTCCCAGCATGGCAGTCTCTCTGACCAGACACGTAGGGAAAGGGAGGATGTGTGTACTCTTCGCAAGGCATCATCTAGGGCAGTTCCTAAGGACTGTTCTGCTCTATTATGAGCTAGATCTCCATTGGATGGGACAAAGTTGCATTGTGATATGCAGCCAAAATATCTACAGCACGGTTAGCCATAGTCTGACTGACACGGAGGCTGCATAACTCCTTACTGTAGGTCTGTTCTGGACGCTTCAAGGAGTCCTTGGCCTCTGCCCTCTAGATACTGGCTGTGACCACTTACCTCCTCAGACTTTGCCAAAAGACCCCTAGGGAATGAAACTACCCCCTCTTGAGAACCACTGATTTACATAGATTTGCTATATATATAAAAAAGTTCCCTTTCTTTGGTAAATAACTCTGGGATATAGATAACAGGTTTTTCAAAATGCATTCTTTTCACACTGGAGTGTTTGAAGATGACGTGTTAAAATATCAACATTCCGGGCTTTGGAGAGACAACAAAAATCTTTATATAAATACAGTGAACCTTTGAGACCATCAGAGAGCAATACAGAAACTAAATTTCTGCTTGTGGTGTCGGAGATGTTCTGAGCAGACCATTTATCTTTGGCCTACTTTGCTAATGGTCACAACACAATTAATCTCGGTGTGCTTGCCTTTAAGCTACACAATGTCTAAACATGATTGAAAAAATATATTATTCTTTTGAAAATAGAACAGCTGTTTGTAAAGATGGTTCAGTCCACAGGAGGCTCTGCTGTCACTCCCTGGATTCTATTTTTATTGAGAGGATCTATTGCCTTTAAAAGAGACACGGAAGGGCTCTTGCTGCACATTGCACTAAGATAAATTTGCTTGATGGTCACACTAGTGCCCTGAAAGATAATCTTGGACTTCATGTTTAAAAAGTGCCTTGAAGGTGGAAATACAGCAATTTCCACAAAGGCTTTTGAATTTTTTGACTATTGCCTAAAACTGGTATTTCTGGTTGCTGGTACTGGATTGGCAATGGAATGCTACCAGTTGCCTATAAAAGGAATTCCCCATCACCTTGACACTGACTCCACCTATCTCTCCTGGGTGGGGGGTGAAGGTGAGAGTGGGTGGGCGATGGGGAGAGGGGTGACAGAATGTCCAAATTTTCTAGTGAAAGACGAGAAATCTTTCAATGATAATGGGATAATGGGTGTTATTCTATGCTAAGTGTTTAAAGAATGTTAGATACTCAGACACACATAGATAAGTTTGTGAATGCAGTCATTTCATGCTATCTAGAAAGGAGCTGGTTCCAGGACCATAAAAGATACCCAAATCTACACATGCCCAGATGCATACCTTCATATAAAATACTATAATATTATCGTGCCAATTTTAGTATATGTGCTGCCGAAGCAAGCACTAAAATAGTGTAATATTTTCATGTAGCCTGTGCACAGCCCCTAAATCAAATATCAGATCATCTCTAGGTAACTCAGCATCATTTGCAAACCCACGCAAGTAGCTGTTATGCAGATTTGTCTGGGGAAATAATTAAATAAAATCATCATTATGTAGCTAGAATTTTTTCAAACCTCGCTCTATGGTTGGTTGAATTTATGAATTCAGAATATGGATACAGAGGGAGGACTGTATGTGTGCATAAATACACATATATGTATATTTTGTATATAGGCACCTCTCTCTCCCTTCCTTCCTTCCTTCCTTCCTTCCTTCCTTCCTTCCTTCCTTCCTTTCTTTCTTTCTTTCTTTCTTTCTTTCTTTCTTTTGTGTACAGGTGTTTTGCCTGCTATTTTGCCTGTTTGCACATAAGTATGCCATGTGTGCGGTGCCCAAGGAGGCCAGAAAATGTGTTTGGATCTTCTGGGACTGGAGTTATAGACAGTTGTGGACTGCCAGCTAAGTGCTGGAAGTCAAACCTGGGCCCTCTGCATGAGCAGCCAGTGTTCTGAACTCATGAGCCGTCTCTCCAGCCCCCTGTGTAAACTGGCAGAGGGATAATCCAGGCACACTTTTCTCCCAATAGACTTGGAATGGTGCAAAATGCTATTTTGTAATAGAAGGTCAAAGAAGACTATGAGGAAAGCCAGCCTGAATTACAAAGAGGGACCAGAGGGTCCTGCCAAAAGTCTAAACTAAGGCAGCTATGTTCAGCCTTTGTCCCAACCTGTTAGAAAAAGAAAGGGCTGCTTACCCTGTCTTCCAGCTCGGAAAGCAGGACATTCAGAGAGAATCTTGACCCTCCCTGATGCATTGTTGTTATGTGTGTTCTCCCAAATAAATAATTGTATAAACTTTTCTTGAGATGCTATCCTACCTTGAAAGCAACTGAAGGATCTGATATGTTAGAAATTGGTCTTTTGGGCTAGTGAGATAGCGCAGCAATTAAGAGCATGTGCAGTTCTTGTAGAGTATCAGGGTTCGGTTCCCCAAACCCACTCACAGCTCATACCTACCTGTAACTGTAGCTCCAGGGGTTCCTTCCAGTCCCTCTGTCCTCTGCAGGCACCTGCATTCCCATGACCATGCCTTCACACAGGCACACAGGCACCCACCCATAATTAAAATAAAATCTTTAAAAATTGTAGTTGGTCTTTGAA